TATACCAGGTGAATACTAAGCTAAATAAAGCTAATGTAGGTATTTAATATCAGGAAAAAATTGATTGTAGGGCAAAAATGCCAATGATACCAGATTACCAGATATTACCAGAGATAATTTGCTTACACACTGATAAAACATTCAATTTCCCAGGAAGATATAGAAATTCTAAATTTGTTTGTAACTTTCAAAATTGACAGAATTACATAGACACATTAACAAATTTTCCATGTCAACAGGCAGCTAAAACTCCGGTAGAATATAGAACATTTGAGCCAGATTAATAAACATGACTTAACTGAGGTATATACTACACTAAGTACAACTGTAAAATGCACATTTTTTTCAAGTGCTCATGAAACATTTACCAAAATTGAGCATATATTGGTCCATAAAGCAAATATCAACAGATTTCAATCATACAAAGTTTGCTCCTCCACTGGAAATGGCAAGGGCACTGATCTATCAAAACAGAAGCTGGCACCAAGTACTGGAGGCCTCCTGCTGTGCCAGGCATTAACCCTTTAGTTGCTAGCTGATAATCAGTAGGTCCCATCAGTCCAGGGAAAGGGACTAGGATGGCCAGGGCAACCGGTAGAGTGACTAAGAAAGCTCAGGGCAGTTTTCAAATGGTCTTTATCAAATGGTCTGAAAAAAATATTTAAATTCCTATGGCCATACAATTATGCATCTGTGGAATATCAGCCCTGCTTAGTAGGACATCAGATGCAGATATTAGAAAATAAGAAAGTCTGAAAATTAATGAGCTGAGCATCCAACTTTTGAAGCTAAAAGAAAAAAAAAAAAAACCCACAGAATAAACCCAAATAAAGTGGAAGAAATGGAATAATAAGAAAAACAGTTAGACAGAAAATAAAGATATAACAGAAAGGATCAAAAAGCCAAAAGTTGATTCTTTTAGAAGAATTGTAATAGTGACAAACTTCTGGCAAGATTAATCAAGGGGAAAAAAGAAGGTACAAATAGACAATGTTAGAACAAAAGAGAGAATATAACTGCAAATGCAACAGAGATGTAAAAGATACAAAGATAAGAACTTTATACTTATATATAAGAACTTTTATATATAAGTTTGAAAACTGATATGAAATAAAAACGTCCTAGAAAACCATAACTTAACAAAACTGACTTAAATAGAAATAACAAACTGGAATAATTCTATAACTGTTAAATAAATGTATAGGTGAAAATTTCAAAGGAGTAACCAGGCCCAGATGGTTTTACCCGGAAATTCTGCCAAATATTGCTATACAGATAGTTCCTTGGACAACCTCTGTCAGAGAACAGAATGAAAGGAAATAGTTCCCATCTTATTTTATGAGGTTAGTATAACCTTAACACCAAAATCAGACAAGGACAACACAAGAATGGAAAAATTACAGGCCAATCTCATTCCTCAACAAAATGCTAAAATCCTAAACAAAATATTATTGAACCAAATCCAGAAGTTTTTATTTACCCCAGGACTGCAAGATTAGTTCAACACAAGAAAAACTCTAATGTAATGTACCACATTAACAGGTTAAAATAGAAAAACAACATGTCATCCCAGCAGATACAGAAAACATGTTTAATAAAAGTCAACATCCATTCATCTTCTAAAAATTATATTGGCAAACTAGGAATAAACAGGAACTTCCTTAAGCTGTTAAATAATATCTACCAAAAAACTACAGCAAATTTACTCAATGATGAAACTTTAAAAGCACTCTCTTTAAAATCAAGATTATCTAAAAATGAAAAAGGGAGAGGGGAAGAAGGTTAATGGCCACAAAGAATGACTATGGATTGCAGTGATGTATAAGCAAACTATCCTGATTTGACCATCACATATTGTACACAAGTGTTGACAGTCAACTTTGTACCTAAAAATATGTAGAGTCAATTATGTTTCAATTAAATAAATAAATAAATAAAGATTAACATAAGAATGCACACTATTAACATTTCTATTAAACATTGTACTGTACATTGTGTGTGCACACGCATGTGTGCGTACGTGTGTTGAAGTTGAAGGTGGGAGGTCTTAGCAGTATAGTAATATAAGAAGAATAGAATTTAAAAAATAAGGATTGGAGGGGGGAAATAAAAGCCATCATTTATATGCAAATTATCAAAACTAATAAGAAAATTTAGCAGGTTTAATAGTAAAAATTCATTACACAAAAACCAATTATATTTATATAAATTAGCAACAAACTGCCATAAAATCTAATTTTCTAAAAATGTTTATTGTTCTGGCCATCACATCTTGGGTACAAGTGGTGATGGTCAGCTTTGTACCCCATGATTATGCATAACCAATAAAAACAAAACAAAACAAATTTTTTAAAAAAGGTACTGTGTACAATATTAACAACAAAAAAGCAAAAATATCTTACAATGGTGTGCAAGCTCTTTATAGATTAAATTGTAAAACTTCACTGAAATAACATGAAAAAAAGTCTAAGTACATACAAAGAGAGACGTACCATGTTTAGGGAATACCCAATATCACAAAGATGTTAATTCCTCTCAAGTTGATCTACAGATTGAATGTAATTCCAATCAAAATTCCCAAAGTTTTAACTGTGTGTGTGTGTGTGTGTGTGTGCACATGTAACTTGAAAATCTGATTCCAAAATTTATGGGGAAGAGCAATGGGCCAAGAATAGCCAAGACACACTGTAAGAAGGACAAAATGGAGGGACTTGTTCTACCAAGATAAATGTACAAAGATATTCAATTGCACTATTGTTCATAACCAAAAACTAGAAACTACCTTAATGCTCATCAGCAGTAAGATGAATAAATAAACTGTGGGATATTCACAAAATGCAATATTATATACATCAAGGAGGATAAACAAGCTACAACTGCATGTAACAATAATATGGATGGCTTGCAAAAATATGTATTACACAGCTATTCAAGCACTTTATGCATGTTAACATATTTAATCCTCAGAACAGTATCACTTAGTGATTTTGTGTCTTCTAGAGAGGATGGTCCAAGTAAAAGGGGACCATTTCCAGGTTCATTTCAGACCTTTCTAGAGCCTGGCCTCCCCAGCCCAGGAGGTGAGGAAGACATTGCTCAAGGCAGGACTTGGCAACCACTATGTAAGTTTTTTGCATCTGTGGTCTGAAGAAATCCAGTCAATCATTAATGATTGACCATCTTGTGCACACAGAGCCCCATTCTTGGCTATGGTGAGCGGTAGGGTGGAATTAGCATAGTGACCATTTACTGAGCATCTGCAACGTGCCAGGCTCAAGGCTTGATTCTGGAGATATGCTGGTTAGTAAGACAACACAGTCACTTTCTTGTTTAAATAATAATAATTACTAACATTTACTGAGTGCATACTATGTGCTTCTAAGCACTTTACATGCTTAAGCTCATCTAAGCTTCACAACAACACTATTATTCATTTCATTTTACAGGCAAGGAAATGGAAGCACAGAGAGGTTAAGAGACTTGTCCAAGGTCACAGAAGAAGGAGGTGGCAGAGCTAGAACTCAAATCTAGGCAGTCTGGATCCAGACCCTCTGATTGAATGAATCACCCGAATAAGACTTGGTGGTAGATATTAATCCTGTTTTTCAGCTGAGGAAAGTGAAGCTCAGAACTAAAGTATGCACATATTTATTTTGCATCTTCTATGTGACAGAGACTATATTAGGTGATATATATATATATTATTGCTCCATCTTGAAAGACAGAGTTCCTAGGAATATAAGGGTTCTGACCCTGGAGGAACCACATATGCGGAGAGTGGCTTGCTTGCTTTTCAGCTAACCCCACCAGCCACTTGGAAGGGACCAAGAGTAGCTGGGTGGGTGGGGATGGGAAGTAGCTCTCAGTCTCATTCAGGCTCCTAGATCTCTAGGTGAGTGCAAGAAACTGCTGGTGGAGAGGGAAGAGAGGAGAACAGGAGGCTGTTTTTTTTTTTTTTTTCTTTCCTTTCTTCCTCTATCTGTAGTGTACATCCTGCACACTATATTTAATATCCTACATCTTCCTGGATCTTCTAAGCAAGTACTGCTCTCCCAAGAGCCCTGAGCCTGGACCTCCTCTAGCATTAGCAGAGTGGAAGCTTGGTCAGCTGGTCCTTGGGATACCTGGGTTCCACAGTCCACAGCTGCCTTAACTTTATCCACCTTATGGCTCCTCAGGCCATAATCCTTAAGCTGGAAGCACCTTGGTCTACAACCGTCCCCTGTTATCTATGGAAAATGATATACTCCAGTTTTAAAACATATGTATTTACATGTTTTGTTCTCTTCTCCTTTGCCTCTGCTCTTTCTTAAAATTTCAAAGTGAACACCACACCAGCAGGCTGGCCCTCAGAAACTGAGTGTCTTTTCCCTCAATCCCCAGAGCAATAAGAAGGTCCATAAGTTGCAAGAAGGCAATTCAGGAGACAGGATACCCAGGCTTTCCCAACCCAGGCAGGTATAGGCTTATTCAAAGAGCCTTGAGAAAGGGGAGGAGCAGTACTGACCAGTGACATGGTACTGCTGTGTACCCAGCACCTGTCCCCTGAGAGATGATGCCAAAAACCATCACTTTATTTCACCCAGGCACTATCACACAAGACCAATTTCCAGACACTTCATATAAGTCACCATAATTCTACACTAGCACTGAACAGTCCCAAACTAGAAACCTCAAATTCCAAACAAGAAGCATTACAAATAAGCTCTGGAAAAGAAAGAAAAGTTACTAGTCAAAGATCCCTCTAATTAGGATGGTCTTTACCTAATCCTCATTTTTGCTGTCCTCATCTCTTTCTTCCCATCTGTCTTTCTCTCATTCTTTCCTCACCTTTTCTGACATTAGCCTCTTGTTATCCTACAACTATATCATCCACCTGCTCATCTATTCTAACTTTTAGATTGGGGTGGGAGTGGATGGCAGGGGGGGCATCCTTTGCTCTTCCACACTCACTCTTCCACACCACCACGTTGAAGCCCACAGAAGCAAACCCCACTTACAGCCCCTTCTCTGTTGCAGCCTGCTGCTGCCGCTGCTGTGTGGAATCCAGATCTTCTGCAACCTGGTTTGGGTGAGCTCTCCCATCTCTTGAGACATTTTAGGCATCACAGCTAATGATACAACTGCGCACAAGGTACTAGGCCTCACTTCCTATCTTACTAGCTGTCCTTTCTGTTGCTGTGACCACAGAAGCAGGTGGACAGGACAGGGACAGGGGAGCACACTAGGCTTCTGAACCCTCTCACAGCTTGTCTCCAGCCCCCTCTCTTCTCTGCTCTAGTCCTAGCCTGCCTCTGTTCCTGTAGGTACCAGTGGGGGCTTGAGTGCAGAGAGTGAAAAGTTGGGCAGAGGTAAGCAGAGGCCTCTAAACTTCAAGGACTGTGTACATAGAAGATAAGTTGAAGCTCTGCAAGGCAGGCAGCCAGCAAGACAGCCCAGGCCTGGCCAGCCACTTCCATCCAATGAAGACAGGACTAGCAGAGTATGCAAATAAAAGACCAAAGATCATGTGCTTACATCCTGTGTGGGGTGGGGAGGCAAAGGTGATGGTGGTAGGTCTCATTAGCTTTCATAGCTTTGAAAAGAAATAAAAAAAAAAAAAAAAAAAAAAAAAAAAAAAAAAAACCAGTCCCAAATAGAAGGTCAAGTTCCAACCCAGAAACAGAGATTCATATCAGAAATGCAAGGTTCCCAAGTACACACACAAGGTCCCTACTGGAAAGGGCAGTGTTTTGAACTAGCAATCAAAGGCCCAAACTGGAAGAGGAAGGTTCACTGGTTCACTGCAACCTCCACCCAAAATGGCATTTCCCCTGGATTCTGCTGCCTTCCCTGCTGCAGGGCCTCTTCCTCCTAAAATGTGTTGCCTGGGGCACTCTTGAAGAGATGGGCACTATCTGATCATCTTTATACTCTCTCCAGCCAAGGCTAAATAAATCAGAGTAAACCTGACACCTGGGGAAGAGGAGTAAGCACAGCAGCCATTGCTGGGTGGACAGATGGTAAGCACTGTCCCCGTGGCTGCCGGCTGCCATTAGATGTCCTGGAGAGAGCAGCATCGTGATCTGATGCAAAACCTGGCTAAAGTTCCTCATTCCAAGCCATTGGTATAGAGGCTTAGTAGGGGATGGTAGAGGCTGCGGTAGGGAGAGGGTGGGGAACAAGGAGCAGTGGCCTCAAGGTAGGACAAATCCATAGGCCAGAGCCATTCCACCCAGATGACTCTTTTCCATTTGCATCTCTCCCCACCCACCCCCGTTGCTCTGAGGCTTTTATGTGTAGAACTCATGTAACTGCACAGCTTGCCTGGAAGATGTCCAAGTGTGCTCTTATTTCATGCTTTTGCAGCCTTCACACCCCCTTGATGAACCTCTAGTGATTGGCTACGAGGAAGCTCACCTTTCTTCCACTGAGTTGGGCTACACAAGGGTAATCTGTTGGGGATATAAATCTCCAATCTGTGCCCTCAAATGCTCTCAGTTCCACTTTGCCTTTTAAGAAGTTCCCTAAAATGCATTCTCAGAGCCCTAGCCTACACAAAGGTTAGATTCCCTCCTGTTGCTGTGTATAAATCATACCAGACTTTCAATACATTCCAGAGCCCCCCTTTCTAAATGAATCTACCAAGGCAGTGGATCACAGTGGCCTCTGGAGACATAATACCTGAGTGCAATCCCACCTCTGCCCCTTACTGGCTATGAGACACTGGGCAGAAGACTGAACTTTTCAGTGCCTCAGTTTTTTCATCTGGAACATGTGAAAAATCGGAGTACCTACCCCCTTAGGGTTGTTGAAGATCAATGTATTAATCCATGTAAAGAGACCTGGGAAATGCCAAATGTCTAGTGCTTAACACTTATTCCTTTTGTGAAGTAAATAATCAAACACCTCTTTGACTAATCTGCAACTTCGAATGTAATGTTGAGTATACAGGAAACACACAGCAAAGGAAACTTATGATATCATGGCAAAGGGTTAACATTATAATATATAAAGAGCTCCTGTGAATCAATTAGAAAGATAAATTTATTTTTACTTTTCTGGTTTTGTGTAAAGACTTATGTTAAAGTTGAGAAGCCTCCTAGAGACCATTTCATCTCACCCTTTCAGATAAGAAAACTGAGGCCTAGAGAGGGGAAATATTTTCCTAAGGTCATTGAGCAAATCAGTGGCCAAGTCAGGAATAGAACACTGGGAACCTAATTTCTTCCAGTCCAGGACTTTTCTTTGGTTAATTGATAAAGCTGGTTTGATCTAAGAATGTGGTCTTTCAGATTAGCTCAGAGCTTCTAGTCTCAGAACTAGATTTTGGAAGAGATAACAACTCTCTTATCCTAATAAATCTAACTGGTATAACTCTATTAATGCTAGCAATCTTAATGACAACCCTTTTCATGTATGTTTTCCATAACCCACAAAGCAACAACATATCCTTTATCCTATTTGATCCTTACAAACATCTTCACTAGCCTCACAGGAAAACTGAGGTCTGGGGAGGGAAAGTGGCTTATCCAAAGTAAACTTGCTGGTCACATGAACACTTCTATGTTTACAGTTTTGTTCTCATGACCCTGGCAAGAGTCAGAAAGATAATTTTAGCAGCAGGAAATCTGAGATAGAAGGCTTGTGGGCTTTTGACAAGATCTGAAAGGTAAACCTGGGGTCCAGGCTTGAAAACCCAATGAAAAACTGCCTGGGAACTAGCTATGAGATTCCTCACCGCTGTTACCAATTCTGATCCCAGAAGCAGAACAAAACAAGCTTAATGGAAAGGTCTCAGCCTGCCATTCAAGGATCTTCTAGATCAAACCCCAACCTGCCATGCTTAACCATGTCTATCCTTAGACCCCCATGCTTAAACTACTCCAGTTGACTTAGTGGGCCCCAAAACACATCACATACTTTCCTGTCTCTGGGCCTTTGCTCAGCTTGGAATGCCTCCATTCTCAGTGAAATCTGACTTACTCTTCAAGACCTGGTTCAATGTTCACCTCCTCTGTATCCTTGCAATAGGCTTTGTCTTTAGTTCTCCTAGTGCCCATATGCTCCTATCTATCTGAGCAAGTATCTACCAGTGTTTTACTAGTCTGCTTCCCCACTGGACTATGAGCTCCTTGAGGACGGGGACTGGATCTCAGTGATGTGTGATCTGTTTCCAGTGTCCAGCTCAGGCCCCAGCACAGAGGAGACACTTGCTCAATGAGTGTTTGTACAGTCTACATCTCTCTATCCTGAATGTATGGACAAGTAATCCCAGTTCAACAGGGTAAATGTTATAACAGAGGGTTATGCAGGGAACTGGATGGGGGAACTAACGTGGTCTGAAGTAGAAGGTGGTATCTAGAAAGGTTTCTCAAATTGAATGGGGCGGAGCAGAATAAATAAAAGAACAAAGTCCCCTCTGAAAAGGCCCAATGAATTGGTTGCAGAGAAAGGCTTCACTTAGTATCAGATTCTCCCTCAAGACCAGGAGCTGAGCCACAAATTCTAATATGGGGCTATCTGTAGGGAAGAAAAACACACAATGTGACTTCCGAAGGCCCACAGATCCTGATCCCCCTTCCAAAGTATGAGGTGTGTGGGGAAATCCTATTTAAAGCAGCATCAAGACAGTACTGATGGGTAATAATATCATAAATGGAGTCTCCCTATTAGTAATTCTTGGGGTGTGTGGATGTGAATGCATTTGTGGGAGTTAGGGGGCTGAAGGGAGATTGGCCACATGCTTACTGGCTGGGTGCATGCATATGAGGATCAGGCCTTCTGTGGCAGCAGCCTAGGATCCACTTCCTTATCAGCCACTGTCCTGGCCCACCAACACCCCACTATTTTCTGCCCCATGCCCAGGCCCCAAAGCTCATTGCATCCTGGCCCTAGGAGTGGCTCTCCACAGACCATAGTCACTCAGGGAGAAGAGCAGCTGGAAGGTTGTGGGTGATATTGTCTGTGGAGGCTACAGAAAAAGCAGGATCTCGAATCTTAGACAGGGCATAGAAGTCCTGAAATGTTTCCAAAGAGTTTTGGTTCTCATCCTCCTAACCCTCTTGATGTTCAGACAGCTCTCAGAGAGTAGGCTAGGGACTTTGATTTCCATTTTACTGAGGAGGGTATTGATGCCCAGAGAAGCTAGAGAGCTTGTTAAAAGTGCCACAGCAAATCAACCCTACTTTATACACCAGTGGGGAGGTAAGAGATACAATATCTATCACTCAGTACATTTAAAACTAGACTAGACAAAGTCGGAGAATCTTCCAAAGGTGCTAGGGAATGGCCCTTTGGGCCAGTGTCTAACAAAGGCAGGTCAGAATAGATAAAGAAATATACAGATAGATAGATTAGATACTGTCTTTTTCCCAACTCTCCCACACCCTGTAATGCACATGTCAACTGACCACCTATGCAAAGAAAACTTCCAGAGAGCCTGAAGAATGGATTTGTATTTGTATAACTCCTGTCTACTTTTTCTTCTTTCTCACCTACCTGTTCTCCTAAAGGTTTTTTCTTCCATTGCTAATTTTCCGACACAGTTCTCTTGCATGTACAAACTCTGAAAGCAGGTACAGGGGGTGTCATCAAAGAGCGAGCCTGGTGGCATTCGTTGTTTCCCTGGGAAGGCTGAGGAAGTACCCTTATTAAGGGGGATGTATGTGTGCTCTGTTGAAATATCAGCTGTTGTAGTTGCCAAAGAAGTTCCTGAGCCATCCAGAGCCTTTTCTCATTGGTCCAACCATGTGTTCACCTTGCCCCAAAGGTCAGAACTAATATTAACAAGGCACTGCTGAATGAGGAAAATAAAACCAGCTATGGAGACAGGCAAGATCTGGATTTCATTGGGGCTGTTTCAGATCGGTCTTCCGTGTAAATGGGCACAATCCCTTACTGGAAAGCAATTTGGCAATATGAAACAAGACCAATAAAAATGTTCACTTCCTTTATCCTAGTTATCCCATTCTTGGGACTCAGTCCTAAGTCAATAACCCCCAAAGCATGAAAAATTTCAAGGCACAATTTTTTTTAAAATTACAGAGCTATTTTCTGATGGCAACAACTGGTAGTTAACCTTTAAGTCCTCCCAGAGGAAAAGCAGTTCACTGGGTCTTTTCTGTAGCCATTGAGGATGATGGCTCTAAGGCTGTGGAATTCTGGGGAAAAAAATATGCTGCACTTCTGTGTGAGGAATCTAAGGATGCGAAGTTATGCTTTTCTGTGGACATTGGGCATGTCTATTATTTCTGTTTTTGTGCTCTCAAAAACAAGCCATGAATTTATTGATGCTCTTGCTAATGCCCTTTGTTCATTCATTCATTCAACAAATATTTATTGCCTCTTAATATATGCTGTGTCCAGTATTAGGGGATGGGGCTAACACGATGAATCAGACATG